GAAAATGTGAATAAGGAGTGTTCTGTTCTGGGGCTATCAGCTGATCCTGAGTCCCCAAAGTGTCCTTATGAATCCCTAGTTAGTGGTGGCACAAATGTTGTCAGGCAGAGGGCAGCCAGTAGAAAATTTCCAGCTCTGGTCACCTTAATGAGAGAGATACGTGGAGGTTTCCGGGGAGAAACGGGAAAAGAAAAGACAGGCTTCAAGCCCCTCCTTTACCCTGAGTGGCATCATGTGTGACAGTAGCTGGGTGGGGAGGTATGCCCCAGATAACCCTGGTCTGGATTCATTAGCATCAAACATCTCGGGCTCTGCGCACGAGCACAGGAAGTGTGATCCTGTATAGGATGCTGACATGGCCAACTGACAAGGATGGATTGAAAGAAAAAAACCCATAAGGCAGTCAGCCTCGGATTTAAAAAAAAGAACTCTGATTCACAACTGTTAGCTTAATGGCAACAAATTCATTTTCTTTGATAGAATACTCGCTTTGAAATTGTCACTGCTGGAAGAAAAAACAAAGCTCCTGGTGCATCACTCATTCATTCAACAATCGTTGAAGGAACATCTGCTTAGTGCTGGGGCTGTGGTAGCTCCTGAGTGTGTGGGAATAAAGAACAAGTGGCTCTCGTCTGCATGAAGCACAGGCGATGCTGTGAGCTGGCACGAGCTAGAGTGATCTAACATGATCTAGCGTGAGTTAGCGCTGCTGAATATGTTCTAACGTGATCTACAATGAGCAAGCACGATGTACCACGAACTGGCATGAGCCAGTGTGATCTAACACCATCTACCATGATGCAACACAAGCTACCATGATCTAGAAGCCACAGACCAGAGAGTGGCTTGGGGAAACTTGCTCAGAAAGCTCACGAGGGGACCTGGTGTTTGGGCTGAATTCTAAAGCAGGCCTGGTGAGGGGTTTTAACCAGAGTGACAAGGTCAGGTTTCATTTTAGAAGGGCACTCTTGTGGGAGGGAGAAGGGTGTTAATTATTTACAGTGTGCTGAGTAGAAACGCACTGTGCCATCTGAATTGTAGCTTTTTTTATTTTCAGTCTCTGGCATATTCACAGTAGATACAACCAAAACAGCCTAGGAAACTCATCCTTCTCCCGGATGGTGAGTTCCGATGACAGCCTGGGATTCGGGGGGTCCAATGATGGTGGGCTGGAATCACAAGGGAGCCCATACACATTCTTTTTACTGCAGGCTCCACAGTATGCCTACAGCCCTCTGCGGTTGAATTGACAGGTTTATGGAGGAAGAATTCTTCCTGGGACATGGGCCAGCAGGTCCTCTGGAGCAGGACTTGACAAGGAGTGTGCAGGGCTGAGCCTTTCGGGACCCTTTTCTTCCACATCTATTAAGTTACCCTTAGATTCCAGGACAGTCAGAGGTGCCTCTTTGTGTGAGAGCTGGACCCAGAACTCCACTCAGCTCCAACAACCTCTTCCTCCAGAGCAGGGCTCCCTAGCCTAGCACCACTGACATTTGGGGGAGACAATTCTTATAAAGGGGTGTCCTTTGCTTTATGTGATGTTTAGCAGTATCCCCAGCCTCTACTCACTAAATGCCAGCAGCTATGCTGTGGGGCAATTGTCTTTGTGGGGAGAATTGCCCCCAGTGAGAGCTGTTCTAGAAGACGGTTTTCCATTCTGTGTGCGTCATTCTATTTCCATTCACCTTCCATCCATCTTCCTGGATCTCTTGCAGCATCCAGAACAACCGACTCCTCTCCTTCCTCTTGCAACTTGCACTCCCTGACACACCCTCTTTATCTTCCTCCTAACTCCTCTAGACTCCTGGTGCCTCTCATCCTCTTCCTGGTCTCCCTTAGGCTTGGACCCATTACACTCTAGGCTTTCTCCCTCTCATCCATTCCCGGGATTCTAAATGTCTTCTTGCCAACTTTCTCTCCAGGCCACACCTCTCACCTGAGCCCCAGACCCATTTCTCTTTGTTCTGGATGTTCACTGGCATCTAGATGTTCCAAGTTCACTCACCTCACCTTCCTCTAAAATCTATTCCTCTTCTTACCTTCCCATTTCAGGAATGGCACTTCCATCTATCTGTTGCCCACACCAGAATCCTTAGGGTCAACTGACTCCTCCTTCTTTCTCACCCCCATATGCAGTCCATGACCAATCCTTGTCACTTCTATCTTCAAAATATATCTCAAGCCGGGTTGTGATCATGCACACCTGCAATCCCAGCACTCAGGAGGCAGAGGTGGGAAGATTGGGGATTCAAGTCCAGCCTAGGCTACATAGTGAGACCCTGTCTCAAAAAAAAAAAAAAAAAAAATCAAAATAATCTGTGTCAGTCTCCCAGTTCAAGCCACCATGTGACCTAAGCAACCAATGATTCAAATAACTCCAATGACCTTGGAAGTCCCCTGATTTCCACTCCTCCCTTCTCTAGTGCACTGGTCATCTGAAATAATCTTTGAAAAGCATAAATCAGACCATAGGGTGCCAATTTCAACCCCTTCAAAGAGATTCTATTGTACTTGAATAAAATCTAAATGTCTTAACATAACCCCTTCCTCCTTTGCAACCTCCCTTTGTCTTATTTTTGGGCTATGCTGCACCATATTGGCCTTCTTTCATACATGTAACCATGGGGCTCCTGCACATTGTGCTCTCTGCTTACAATGCTGTCCCCCAACTCTTTTACCCTGCAGGGCTCAGCATCAGTGTCATTTCTTCCAGAACATTCCACAGAGAGTACCCCATACTCTTCATTTCACTTTCCCTACTATAGTCTACTCTTCTGTGCTCCTGCTTGTGCTTGAGACTTTAAACTCTGTATGTATCTATGAAATCATTTCTCTACTGTTTGGTTCTCCTGCTACATTGGAATGTCATGGGGGAAGGGACCCTGAGTATCTCTTTTGCTCATTGGCTTATCTCTTGTCTTAACCTCCTATGTCATACTTGGTGAGTATTCAGTAAACATTTATTGGACAAGTGACTATTCACCTCTCATTTCCTTGGTCAGATTGCTTCCAGGGAAAAATACTTTATGATCCAGGGAAAGAGGTGTGAATGTGTCCATGAATGACTCTTTGAAGCATCTGTGAGAGAGCTCCACAAATGTCTGTAAATGAAAAGAAGCTTCTAGAAGTGGTTCTTGGGAGTAGAAAGCACAGGGAAATGAGCCAGGTACTTGATGACCCTAAAGGAGACTTGTTGACTTCATTAATATTCCCTACTTCCCCAAGCATTGTATGCACATATGAATAATAAAAAAATAATAAAATAAATGTACTGATCTAAAAATTCAAACTTAAAAAAAATAAAATAAAATGAATACAATGAAAAAAAATTAAAAAAATAAAAGTGTTGATTGAGTCAATGGTCCAAGGAAGTGAAAAAAAAAAATTCCCTACTTGTCCCAAGACTTCCGCTGAATTAAGAAGGCACTCTCTAAGGACCACATAGAACCGCACCAATGCATTCTGGGCAGAAGAGCTGAAATTAGTTCAGTTTTTTGGCATCACTACCTTCTTGGAAGACCAGAGCTGCCAGAGAGACGTCTGTCCGGTAGGAGAGTAGTCCCCTGCACCAACAGACATAGAAAAGATGGGACAACGACTTCCCCAATGCTTTGACTATTATCAAAGCCCCAGTAAGTCTTGTGGGCTTGGTAGGAAACCACAGAAGTGTCGTTCGTTGCAGAGGGAGACAAGGGGAGGGCAGATGAGCCCTGTTTTATCCTTCCCATTGGCACCGTTACTCAAAGAGAGTTTATCCAAAAGTGCACAGGTGTGGTTGGCTGCAGAGTGTACTATAAGTTGATGGTGACAATATGCTCGGTGTGACAGAGTCACTCTAGCCCTCTAAGGGACAGCAACTAAAGATCCCAAGCCTGCAATTAAGCAGCTATACATCTGCTCAAGACCAGGTAAGACTTTTCTATCTAAATGAATTTCAAAATGTGGAGGCAGAAGATCTGAATCCCAGGGCAGCCCAGTTTGTGTGTGACCTGTGGAATTCACTTTTAATAGGCTTATTTATTACATTTTCAATCAGCCTTAATAAATCTGAGAAGAGAGTTTCAAGGTCTATGTGGACGGCTCAAGGACAAGCCTAGGGCCCTGGTTCCAAACATATTGCGATTGGCTGTGTGATGCTAAACAACAAAAATAGTCCTGCATCTGTTGTCATTACCAGGCTGGGACAGTATTTACAAGCAGGTCACTCAAGTTCCATCAGTGGCCATTAATAAAATACTAACAGAATATAAATGGTGACTTGTACTACAAGAAAATAAAAAGGGAGCAGGAAATCAAAGGGCAGATTCTGGTAGGGGAGAAACCAGAGGGCAAGCTATTCTTTGAAATGTATTCTCAGCCAAGAAGAACAAAGAAGCCCTCCTGGAGGAGCCTGCTATTTTTGAGAGAATGGTTCTCGGTCAACACGAGCTATCAAAGTTTTAAGGATTTATCGAGGGCTTTCTTTATGTTAAACTCCAAAGATACAAATAAAATATAGTTCAGGAGAGAGTTGCAGTGGTGCATGACTGTAATCTCAGCACTCAGAGGCTGAGGCAGGAGGAGCGTGAGTTGAGGCTAGCCTGGGCTATACAGTAAGACCCTATCTCAAAAAAAATCAAAACCAAAACCAAATCAAAGCAAAAAATATATATCGAGTCTATGCCCTCACAGAGCATGCAGCTGGGGAGACAGGGAACGGTTTTTTCAGAGAGGCCAGTGTGTTGGATGTTAAATATTGATTTAACACACGCTGATGGCAGAGTTGGACAGATGGAAAGCTAAATGGAAACAGAATAGCAACCAGGGCCAGCGATGGGCCCTGAGAAACAGGTCTCAATTTTGAGACCTTATTAAAGAACCCAGCAAGATATGACACCAACACAAAGACAGATGAAAGACTCCCAGGTTAGGAGACACTTAACATAGATATATGTATATATCTATGTTAATGCTGAATGAACAAATGAATCTCTTCCACGTGCCATCCATCTACTGCTTACCTCGGATTCTTTGTAGTAGCGTTCTGGAATTTCATCACAAGCAATATCAATAAAGCAAACTTCTCTCTCCAGGTCTTTGGCTTCATTGTCAAAAATCTGAAAGGGCAGAGACATATATCAAAGGTTAGTGATGCCAAGGAAATCCTCCAAGGTGCTGGTGGGTCAGTATAACCATGCCCAAGGCAGAATAACACCCCACAGCGTGCCTCACGTGGCTTGGCACCCCTGGCGAGAGCTTTCACCTGCCACAGTATGTGCAGGAATCATGAAAGGCTTTTATTCATCGCTTAGGTTTTGTCACATCAGAGGCAGGTGTGGCATCCATCACCACGTGGTGAGGGGTAGAAGAAAAAGCGGACTGTTTTTAGAAGTTCAAGAATGAGGAAATAAATCTCTTCCAGAAACCTCTTCCAAAACTGAAGTCTGCCAATGTTTGGCAGTTATCTGAACAGGGTGGGGGCAGGGGGTGAAGAGACGGCCAAAGGTTGGGTGAGATTTCAGATAAAACCCAGTGATACAGCCCAAGATTTAGAGAAGAAAAATGTGTGCACGTTTTCATTAAAAATTATTACATATACTTAATTTCACAAATAATGCACGCTCAACGCAGAAAACACAGATGAACAAAAAGATAAACCGTGGCCCCATTGCCCAGGGGTAAACATGTATTTTTCTTGATCACTTAATGGTACAATTTCCTTGGTACATGTAACAACATATAGCTTGGTAAGATACCGAGATGGCTTCCTGCCAGTCTTCCTGCCACTGGTCCAGAATGTCCATTAATTGCCCCTCAAAAATGCTAAAAAAAAAAACCCCAAAACCCCACAATATATACATATAAACTTTGGCAGACTAAGATCCTCTAGTGTTTCTCCTTGCCACTTTTTTTTTGGTCCAAAGGATGAGCAATGTGGTGAAGGACAGTAACTAGTCCAAGTTTGGAAAATGACTTTACCCTCGGAGGAAGTCTTAGCAGCATCCCCACCTCACTGCGGAGCTAGTTCCTGCAGGGACTCATCAGCTAACAATAATTACATCAGACTCTTCAGAAAGGAATGGAATATTTTGGAAGGACAGAATGGCTGACGCCTGAGAACACTGCCTTGACTCAAATTTGATGCTTATTAATACCATGACCTCCTACAAGACAGCACCTGAGGACTCTACCTGCTATACTCTCTTTTTCACTTGCATCTCAAGGTGACAATGTTAGTCCTTTCCAAATGCTTTCTGAGTAACATTCGTGCTGATAGTTATCCTCCAAGTCTGCTGTCTGCTCTGTGGTCTATTTTCTTCTAACTGCTTGGAGGCCAGATTGACTCCCCAGTCTGGCCTGAGATGGCCACTGTAGTTTCCTGAAAGGCAGAGACAGGCTGGTTCTTAGATCAGCCCTGATTCCTTCTGCCTCTTAAAGTCAAGTGCTTTGGAACCCTCCTAACGTGTTTAGGTGGGACAGATGAAGTGACTAGAAATGAAAGAGACAGTAGACAAACAAGTTCAAGTTTGAGTGGAGAAATAAGTTGTGAAATGAAATACTGAGTTTCAGACTGTGTGAGTCACAGGCATTCTCTCTCTCTCTTTGCCTCTTTCTTTCTCCCCCCCTTCCCTCCCTCCCTCTTTCCTTCCTTCCTCTATTTCTCTCTTTCAAGTGTAAGCCAAGAGAAGAAAGGCACTTGTTTCATTAAGAAGACAAATAGAACACCCCAGAGGGGAACGAGCTTCTAGAGAGTAAAGTTAAAAAGAGTTGGCACTTATTGGTAGAATCTATTGGATTCAAAGAAAGGGAAATAAGCAGACATTGAGAGGACTACTGACAGGTCATGAGCTTTACTTGATGTAATTCAAACTTTCTGAGCACTGTTGTGTCAGGTATGTTATTGCCTCTCAGCTCTAATTCTACCCTTCAGTCCCTGGTGTGATAAGGGACTGGACCCTGTAAGCATTTCTCCTCTGGAGTGAGCACTATGTAAGCCTTGTCAGTAGAGGGCACCAAAGGGACACCATAGGAGGAAGGGGCTGCTCTGCTAGGTGTGGATCTTGGAGGCTGGAGAGTCTGTGGTGGGGACATTAAGTGATGCTCTGTCCCACTGTGTGCCTAGAGGACAGATTTGCTTATGCCCTTACAGCCATGGCCCAGACCCAGGAACAACGCCATAGTGGCCCTCCTGATGTAGGGACCATGCCCTTCAGGCCTTGCACGTGCCAGTGCACAACTGTCCACCAACCTCATCTTTTTTGTGCCCCAGAAGGCTTTCTGCTGCTCAGTGACTTTCTGACTGCTCAGTGACTGGACCAGCTTTGGTTCAGGCAAACTGGCGAACTTCTCCACCATCCTGTGGGCTACAACCACACCTTGTGCAGTGACATGGGAACCCTAGCCATGGAAAGCAAAACTTTCCAAGTTCATCCTTCATTGGATTCTCTCTCAGCTTTCTGGAACCCTTTGGGGTTTCTTTCTCTCTCAATAGTTGCTTCTATCAAAGATTAATAAGTCCTTATTACTTTCTTCTGTTCAAATTATTGTGTGATTTCTGTCTCCTGCTTGGGCCCGGACTGACAAATTCATTGCATGTACGTGTTGCCACAGACTTTGAGGATTACAGAGACAGTGAGGCCTGAGTTCCTGCCCTTAAAAAGTCACCATCTAGTTGAAGAGACAGACTAGGAGGCTTTTACCAAAAATACAAGACAGAATAAAGTAAATACTACAAAAGAACAAAAAGAACAGGCTGTAAATCTAGGAGAAGAGCCATTAATGTTGACTCAACATTATGAGGATTATAATATTAGTCCCTGTTTTCTTTTCTGTGTGTATCTGTGTGTAGGGTGAGGGTGCTGGGGATCGAACCCAGGACTTTGACAGGCTAGGCAAGAGCTCTACCACTGAGCGCCCCTTATTCTCAGTTTTCAGATAAGAAAACCCAGGCTTAAATGAGTAAAGAGCTTTGCTTAAGGTCAGTCAGTCAGTAAAGAAGCGTAGAATGGAGGTCAAACCTGCAGGCTGCACAACCAGGCTCCGCTGTGATAAAAGGCTGCCTCTTAGTAGCCAGCTGAGAAGATGAATATCCGCCGTAAAATGCTTCCTGCTTCTTTCTAGAAAGATGGTTCTCCTCCTGCTACTTAGAAAATGGGTGTTCTGGCAGACATCACAGGGCATGTTGTAAGCCTTGGGTTCTTTTGTTCTTTTGGTGAACAGCTGAGTCCTTCTATTTAGATAGGACCTCTGGTCTCCTTCATTAACATGATGCTTAACTTGTGCCCAAGTCCATGAAATACCAAGCACCAGAGAGTCTGCATGACTTCAACTTCAGAGTAAACATTGTGTGGGGGGGAGGGGTTCCCTTCCACCTGAACAAAGGCACAGATGATCACTTGGAGGACCTCGACATTCTTTTCAGGCATGAGATGACAAATAGTCTACATTTCCAATAAAGAAAATATCTCCTAGTGATTGATTTGCAATTTTAGGAGATGCCCTGCAGTGGTGCTCGGAGCACCATTCAACACTTGACAATGGTTACTGAAGAGTTGAAGGCATTAGCTTCGACTTTCCAAAGAGGAGTTTGCTTCCTCCTGGCCTTAGTTTCCTTTCCTACATCTGAGCGCCATTTCCTTGATTGAAAGCACTCTAATTTCCCACAATTCCCAAGAGAGCTCAACATAGAGTGGAAACTCCTTGTATGGGCTGATGGGTCCTATAGTAGGAATGGGAGCCGAGTTGAATCCAGTTATCTTCTCTGTCTGTGTAAGCTGTGGCAGATCTCTGCATCTTTTGGGAGGGCCTTCATGTCAGTGTCCACACAATAAAAAGCTTAGTCTGGGTGGATGGGCATCAGGGAGCCTGTGAAAGATCTTAGGATGGATGCACAATTCGGGCAGGTGAGTTTTTCTGACTATCCACAGAGATCTGTGGCCCTAACAAGGATGAAGATTAAGTAACCTGGATGACCACTAAAACTCCTTTCAGTGAAGTCTGTGATGTGAAGAGTGATCTTGGGAGATGTTAGGCTCCACATCTAGCTCCTTGGCTTGTTCCTTCAGCCTGCATAGCAAGTCAACTTGGGTGGTGGACAGAGGGACTGTGGTGGAGTAACTGAAAGGCACAGCAAGATAAGACATGCTCAGGTGAGTGCAAGATCCAGAATGACGCCAACACTGTTACAAACAGACAGCTTAGCTGGGATGACACTGGACAAGAGTGATCATTTGAGGTCCCCCAGAAGATGCAGCAGCAACTGCCAGAGTTCTGGTCCAATAGCAGCTCTGTGAGGTGCAGGGAAGGATCAGATGAGGTTGTGTTAGGACGATATGCATCCTGCTGACACATCAAACCAAGGCTTCGGGACTGCACCTGACACTGGAGAGACGTGCACCTTCATGGGTTTCTTTGCTTTGGGAGCAGAATTTGTCTTCTTCTGACATGGGGACATGGGTTTGGGAGTTAACTGAGGTACTTTCCCTATGTCACCAGTAGGAATGTTCTCATCTTTGACGATTTGTCATAGACACTATATTAATCTGTTTCCCTTGCTATAATGAAATACCTAAGGCAGGCTAATTTTATAAAGAAAAGAGGTTCACTCAGGTCACATTTCTGGAGGGCATGGAGCCAGCATCAACTTAGTTTAGGTGATGACTTTACGGTGGATGGCAGGATTGCACGTGAGAGGGAGAAATAACATTGCCAAACAGGAAGTCAGAGAAAGAGAGAGGAGAGAGAGAGACATTGGGGTCCCACAGTCCCTTCTGGGGTAAAGTCCCAAGTAACCTAAAGACCTCCCATTTGGCCCCATCTCTTCATGTTCCACTCTCTCAACTGACACCTTGGAGGCCAGGTTTCGAACACATGATCCTTTGAGGGAAACCATACTGAAACCATGGCAGTGTGCAGGGGCAAACATGTTTATCCTCCCCCTCTCCTATCTACCCACAGATCATCTGCGCTGGATTTTGGTGCCAATCTGGTTGACTGCCCTGACCTCCACCCTGATTAGGGAATAAAAGCCCAAGAAGACAAATTCCTTTTTAAGAAGACTGGGCAATACTAAATGAGAAGGCGAATCTCCTGGAAAAAAAAATACAATCTTACAGAT